AAAGCCGCAGCTGGCAAACAAAGCGACAACCGTTGACACTGTGCCCTGTCACATAGCTGCCGTAGGTGCTGGTGTGTGCGTGTGTGTGTGTGTGTGTGTGTGTGTGTGTGTGTTTGCAACCACATTGCCAGGTTGCTTTCTAAAGTCTCATAATGTTGATGGACATTCGCTTTGATTTGCTACGGCGGCTGCTGATGTGATTTAGCCTTTTTTTTTTGCTTAAGCCCGGGCAAAGCCGCATAATGAGTTGCCATTTGATGTCATATGTGTGGTTGGAAGAACAACAAAAACACTCGGCCTAGTCTTATGTCAGACTTAATCTCGCTCGCATACAGGCCTTTTTTATGCATCTAGGTTTTTATTTTGTGTTTAAGCTGGGGAACAGCAAACCTCATTGACACCTCGCTTTGGGCAACGTTACATTTAAAATCAATTTTTGTGGCAATCCATTTCCAAACATGAAAAAGTTCAGCAAATTCGTGCCTTTTTTGAGTCAGTGTCCTCTTTGTTGCTGCTGTCAAGTCCAATGGGCCGCCAGAGCTTAGACATATGCAAACATAAGCATGTGCACAGGTTTTTATGTGCTTTTTCTTTGCCTGCTTTACACACACATGTCACACACACTTTTACACACAGCTGCTGTTAAATACACTTTTGCAGCATTTTGTCATTTATTTTATACTTCTTTTCTTTCGAACCACCCACTTCCGTGGTTTGCTCGGTGATATGAAGGTCAGTGCTGATAAGCCAGTCAAGCATAGAAATTTAGTTGCATCATGCTGCATTTAGCTTGTGCCGGTTCAATGCCCGGCGAACGCTTCCTGTTTCTGACCAGGCGGAAGCAAAAGTTCATTTGGGTCATGTTGACATTGCCTGGGCCGCAGGCTGGGTACGGACCATGGCACTGGCAACATGTCGCCAGTCGTGCATTGACTTTATGAGTTCAAATACAAAATATGTTCAACTATCAGGGGATTAAATGCATTTGCACACTATTACGGAAGTAATAAATTAATCAATATTCTATTTAAGTCGTGCCAAGCGGCACAATATAAATTTATTACATTATTATTTTTGGTAACATTTATATATTCCCACTGGAGGGCGAAGAACTGACGAGTGTCAGCCAATCTGTCTGCAAACAAGTAGTTGGTCATATTTAAAACGAAACAAAAATTTATTCATTTTTCGTTTATAGATTCTTAATAAAGTTTGGAAAAGATAATTATGTACATGCTTTAGCCCTACCATTTATTTAAACTTAAGCAATTCAATTGTAAATATTATTTATCATCAATTGAAGATCCTTCCTTCTTGTTTTTCTAACACATTTTAAATAAGCTTGCAAGGATGTAAATAGAGTTGTATATGCTGTCAGTGTTGGTAAATGCAATGGTAGTCCATAAACGAAAATGGCAATGCCCTTTCATACGCACTTATTGATGGCAAGGCTATGTAGATAGAAATATATAATTATGTTAAAAATAATAAAATTAATTTTATTAAAATATTTTTTAGCAAATGGTTAGATATTCAGGTAAAACTAGAGCAACAATTAAATTTGCAACATTTGAGTATTGCAACTATCTCTGCTCTATAGTTATTAAATCTTAGCTGTTTTTTATCATACTTAAGGGAAGTATAATAATTGGCGAAAACTTAATAGAAATGACACAGTCGCTTGTGAGACTAAGCGTAGTTTTTAAATAAGAAACAACTTACGAAATGGAGTAGTGAAATTGATATGAAAACACTTAGAAAATTATTTATAAAAAAATTATGTATAAGGAGAAGGTTTCTTTATGTGGGATACATTTCGTTTTCAACGGCTGTGGAACTTCAATTAAACAGTTTCTCAAATGGCAAAGGGAAACTGCGACCACTTATTAAGCAAAGTTCTTGCATAAAATTCAAGCCAGTTGCCACCTGACGTCAGCGGCAAAAAGTTTCGGAGGCCGTGGGTCGTGGCATGTGAAATTATTCATTCAACATTTAAGTGTCTGCCACATCGGCAACAGAGCGAATGTAAAAGTTTTATGCACCAACGCACACATAAGCCACAAAAGGAAAGCAAATTGAGCCACGGCACACACAGACCAAAGACACATTCAACAGCAACTGTCAAATGCAATCCCTAATAAGATGGTGGTTGCTGGTTGGGTGGGGTGAAAGCACTTGCCACACATGACAAATTGCACGCGTATCTTTTTTCTTCACTACATACTTTAAGGCGGAATGCTTAAGCATATGAAACTGAAGCCGATTGTGTGCATATGGAATTTTGATGGGCCACGCAATCGATATTGAGACACCGAAAAGCTTGCCATGAAAAGTGATTTCCCGGTTTGCAGCACTGCGAAAAAACCCGAGCACAAAAAAATATGTTTGCCCCGCAAACTGTGTCGCGCAGCGCGACCTCTTATCGCTCGCAATGATGTGAATAGGGTAGCATAAGGACGGGCAGCGGGTAGAACAGCTTTTCAATGCATGCCGGATATGTTGAAGACTTCCGCAGATTTTATGTCTTCCTCCCAACACGAAAAATAAGCGCAAAATAATAATAAGAAGAAGATGTAAAAAAGAGAGCGCTTGCTTCCAAAAATCCAAGCCACTAAATCGAAAGACGTGCTGAGCTCCGTTTGCCGGGCAACCCAAATCGTGGCACGGACTGCTGTTTTATTTACCTTGATGGCCCTTGGATTTTATATCCCCCATCCCTTCCTGCCACTGCACTTCCCCGCTCAATTGCTCGGACTCAAGTGGTCCACATTTTAGCTATGAATGCGATTTGTATGCAAATATTCGAAGCGTATGTACACCAGCAGCACGTGTGTCTAACCAACAACACAAAAATATAAATGAAAATGTATTTATATATATAAATAAATAAATAAAACAAGTCAATAATATGATAGCAGCAACTATTATAGCCTTGGAATGTATCAAATATTTTATCTGAACAAGTAGAGAGAGGATACAAATATACTTATTTAGGTAAGGAATTACAAATATAATCAATTACTAATACTTATAAAAGGGCTATACTCTGTTTCCATTGAAATGGGTAAAAAAAAGAGTATTCCAACAGTCTAGTCTTGCACTTTGGTATACACACATTTTCGACAAAGATCGAAACATTAACACCAAGTTATTGAGGGATGTCTTCAGGATCTAGAATGCCAGAGATCTGTGTAAGCTTTAAAAATATATCAATAAAGACGACCTCTTTCGTATATAAAATCAGACTTATAAGAAGGGTATCAAAGTATAGTTGAAAGCCATCAAAGCTCTCTTATATTTAGTTTAGAATTAGAGCACTTGTTCAAGTACAAATCGCAGCTTTATATACCATATAGTTGTGTTGTATTTGTCTATATAAATTTTATTGAGAACATATTTAATTTAACAACAGCTGCCCAAGCCTTATAATACGCATAAGCTGCATTTTAATCGATTGCTAATTGCTTAAACAGCTTTAGATAAACTTCTCATTGGGGCTTAAAATTTTACAGCTGTAATAATATAATACACCACAAATATGTTGTCATATTGAATATGCCGATAAAATACACAAAAGAACCAACTAACAGTTGAACAACAACAACAACAAACCCAAACAATTGCTGTCTAAATTCATTGTATTGGTTTTGTGTGTTGCCGCAAAAAAATATATCACTTGAGATACCTGTGTATCTCATATGTGTGTGTGTATATGTGTGTGAATAGCTGGAGGGAAGAGCTGCGCTTGTGTATGTAAGCGTATGTGTCAATGCATGTCTATGCATATAAAAATTTGCATGACGACTCAGTCGCATTGTCTGCAATGGCGGAAATATTGTTTGCTCTTGTAGTGTGTGTGTATGCGTGTGTGTTTTAGTGTTTGCATGTTTGAGTGTTTGTGTGTGGGCTAGGTATTGCAAACACACACAAATTGATGAACAGATGCCATTTGATTGTGCTTCATTTCACATTACTGTCAATGGGTGCTTGATGGGCGTGTCAGTTGATACAGTTTATTAATGCCAGATGACTGAATGCTGAGTTAGAGAAAGAGAGAGGGAGAGAGAGAGAGAGAGGGAGAGAGAGAGAGAGAGAGAGAGAGAAAGAGAGAGAGAAAGAGAGAGAGAGAGAGAGAGAGAGAGAGAGAGAGCGAGAGAGAGAGAAAGGCAGAGAGAGATATGGAAAGACAGGCAGACATAGGGACAGAGAGACAGAAAGAGAGAGAGAGATAGGGGATGCCAGAGATATAGCGACAGTGAAACAGAGAAAGAAAGAGAGAAATAGAAAGAGAGAGAGTAAAAGCCTGGCAGTTAATAATAGAGAGTGAGAAAGAAAGATGGAGATAAAGAGATATTCAGAATCTTATTCTGGAAAGAGAGATAGAGAGGCTGGGAGAGACAGAGGGGAAAAAAGAAAATAAGAGAGGCAGATAATGAAAAAACAACAGTAGATCTTATTATGCTATAGAATATTCGTATATTCTCAAAACGACAAATTCCATTATTATTGTACCTTAAATTGGTGGTAGTTCCGCGAATCAAATTGATCTTTAATCTTTAATATACAAGTATTTTAGGGAACTATTTTTCTAAGTGTGAACGTTGTTTCCTCTAGTCTCGCACTCTCGAGACTATGGCTTGAATTGAATTGAATTTTATCAAATAGAAAATTTAAAATTTGCTACTGATTTGCTTTGTTTTTGTATATATTTCTGATCAGAGAAATCATTTTTCTTATAATTAGGCATACTGGCAGCACAAAGTGTCTTCCCAAAAGCACTTTCGTTAAACCATGACCTGCTCATTCGAATAGGAAGATTTTCCTATTCCTCTAGCGAACTCCTCATGGTCTCAGTTCTCTGTTAGTGAACTGGACATCAAACTGAACGCTACACAACATACTCGGGCCATGCTCGGTTTGGCCGACATAGACTTTCTTCACACTATTCTTTCGGCAGCAACCCCAATACAAGTAGGACAGCGATATTAAACAACATTACCTTCTGTCAAATTCTCTGTTTATTAGTAATATTTAAACCTTAAACTTCAATGTTAATATTATAAATAGGATATACAATATATACATAATTAAAGCAGTTATCTCGTGATTGACCTTATTTCGATAGACCAAATCCGATTTTAAATAACGCATAATTTGGATAGCTTTAAGCACTTAAGAGTACAACATTCCTCGGGCACTTTGCACAATCCACCTATTGACTGGCAGTCTTCAAATATTGTCAAGCGCTCTCTCTAAAAGTGAATTTATAAGAAGAAATTTGAATTGCGACTGTTAAATGGACCCTAATTTAATCCATACCTGTGACAAATGCTTGGAGAGGGGCATAACTTTGCTGTCGTTTCTGTACCTTAAAAAAGGCTTTACCCGTTTTGGCTGAAATAAACAGGACAACAAGCAGTATAAAATATATGTATACATTTTTGTAATATACATTGCTTATGCCTATGCATATGTAGACTGCACCTGTGGCAATTTTAGAGCGGGATACCGAACTTTCGGAATCATATCCAACGATATTCTGGGAAAATCATCTTCCGCAACTACAAGTAGCACCATTCCCAGAGAATGTATTAAAAACAATGCGCACAAAGTTATTTGCATTCTTAATACAATAATTGCACATTTAATACTGTAAGCAATTCATACAGTTTTGAGCTTTTATAGGCAACAGTGGCCACATGAATCGTATGAATTTTTATAACATATGTACTTCTGGTTTACATTTGTTTTTTTTTTTTTTGTTTATTCAAGAAAATGATTTCAATATCGATATACAATATATAAAATAATATACCCTGAAGCCATTGATATTGGTTAACTTGACATCGAATGGAATATATAGATTCTTGTCCAGTAGCAACAACTGAGTCGATTTAGACATGTTCGCCTGTTTGAACAAACATTTGTCCATTCATCTCGCCGTCTGCATGTACGAACACATCAATCTCGGACATTGTAAGTAATAGAGATTTATATGCTATACACACCATGTGAATATTTCATTATTGAAGACCCTGGATTCCCAGTATATGCTAGTCAGACCTCCCCACGTTCCTCCTCAGTTTTACTTGTTTATTTTAATGCAGGTTGATTCATTCATTATACTGTGAACATGCTGTAAATATCTGACTTGCCCGATTTATGTTGAATATTAAACGAACTCACATTTATTAGAATAATTACTACTTAACTTTAACACTCCAACGGGTATTTAATCAAACATATTAAGATGGCAGATTTTTTCCAGATGGCAAACAAATTGTCAATCAATCGATATTGATATAACATACTCTGCAACTGGTATAAAAAAGCCATGCATTCATCTCTTATTAGGCATGCTTCAGAACAATTTCAAGATTCAATAGAATGAAAAATGCCTAATAAATTTCTAAACATACACTGACCCCTTACAAAATATTCAGGTTTAACCAACTTAAAGAAGAAATGCAATTGATGAGTTTTGCCATATTGCTAAAATCGCAGTATAGTTAGTATGCCAGTTTTGGGAATATATACTTACTTAAGTAAGGGAAGGGAGGAGAAATTTATTTATTTTAATGTCCCGAACCCAGTGTTCAAAATGTATATATTTGTTCTGCGCAAATCTAGGGAAAAGAAATCATATGGCCTATAGTTAATCCCGTTTAAACTAAATGTATATGTATCGCTTTTCAATTTTGTCTTTCGGAACATCGAGGCTTATAAAAGCAAGAGATACTACACGTTGGAATTAGGTTCTTGTAAAGGTTTAATAATTTCAGAATATTTTACTCCTTGGAAGTCTTTTCCGTTTCGCCAAAATTTCAATAAATGAAGGCCCTGAACAAAAGTATCGAACCATAAAAGCCAATTCCCATTAAGATTGCATTTTCCATTGTTTCTTGCCAAGGGCAAACACACAATGTGTGTTTTTGTGTATTTTATGTATAAAGAGACGCTAGAGTTTTACTGGGTGTAGGATGTCTCCAAGTCGGACATTCCCCATACGACTGTGGCTATTGGCTAATACAACCCACAGTTTAGGGCTGAATTGTTAATGAAATAATTAAGGTGCACAGCAACCAATTTATTTAACACGATTCATTACATTGGTTTTACTAGAAGGAACACACTTTGGTGACTTTTAAACATTGGAGCGTGCAGCATTCCTCGGACCGCGTGCAGTTGGTGCCAATTCCTTTGCAGGTGTCCATTAACTCCATGCGCTTCCACTAAATAATCAAATAGACAATATAGTATCCAATGATAAATGTGTTTAATGAAGACTAAATCGCACCTGCGTCAAATCATTTCTGAAGGGAATTATTTCGGCGTCAGGGGTTTCTGGTTCTTCCATATTCTAACAGTAATTCAATTATAAACAATTTATCAAACAATATGTATATGTATTTCAATCATACCTGAGGAAGTTGGGCCTTTGATTTCCTTATGCTGGCACTCGTATCAAAATCGACAGCATCTGAAACTACTGGAACTTTTGCCTCACTGGTGATATTTTTGACAACTCCGCTGAGTACAACATTAAACAATGCTCCAAGACCGAACAACAGCCACAGGGTGCTTCTAGATAGTTGCATGGCGATTTTTTTCTAACTGGCAATAAAAATTTGCAGCTGCTTTTATAGGCGGATTCGGAATGCATGGAATGCTTTTGGGTGTGTGGATTTCGTTTATTTATTGGAAACACATTTGTCTACAATTTCATTTCCCCGATAAGGTTATACATTATTTTTAAAACTAAGTGGAAAAAAGCCGATGGCTGTAGTCAACAATTGGCGGACTTTGCCACACACTCTGCACCGTATCGATGGCCACCTGATTGCGCCAATCGCCAGTGCCCTTCAATAGGCTAAGGAACATGTTTGTGAAGAGGTTAATATCCTCCGGATTGACCGATGCTGAATTCTGTTGCGCCGGCGGGAAAATTGGAATTTTGTTCGCTGCATTGCCTGTGGCGTTGAGCGGCATTAGGGCCTTAGCATTCTGCTGAGTTGAATGAAGTCCCTATCAAACAGCTAAGCAATATGAGACTCAAATGCCAACTTACAGCAGCATCAAATAGCAGCAGAGGCAGCAGCAGCAGTGGCATCAGCATCATTTTTTTTCCCAGTGAGTCTGCTTCTAGTGCAGCTTCGAGTGAACTGAAGTGCTCAGCCGATTGGAGCTTGATTTTAAGAGCAGATTTTAGTTAGATGACCCCGGTCTATAATTAATTGGCAAGTTTTTGCTCGTTTGACATGCAACTCCAATTGCTATTTGCCCAAGTCAAGGCAGTTGATAACATCTGTGTCAAGAGTTCGAGATAATTGAATATTCTCCTCAGTTTAATTACTGGGCAAATATTTAAAGTCAACCAAACAAACCAAGTCCAGTTACAGATAACACTGTTTACATATTAATCAATGCTGCTCTGATGCCTGACCTTAAGGTAGCTGGGTTACATTTAAAGTGGCATAAGTGCTACTCTTATGCTTATGCAGCGGGTACTGCATTTTTGGCATGCAATATGCAACACATACAAAAATTGTCTTTAAAATTAAATAAAAGAAAACTATGAAGAAAGTCGCTGTTAAACGTGCCACATACAGCGCGTATGGCGGGCATTGTTTACAAATATCTATGAACTTTTTGCGTATGTTATATTAAAAGGTTGAAATTTAGAAAGAATGGTCTTTCCAAATGATTTTTCACTGCATGAATTAACTTAAACTTTATTGAATTGTCAGAAATTATCATTATGTATATTGAATGAGCTATTGTCGTATTCTGCGTAGAGCGGGGAATTCGCAAATTAAACTGTATGCTGATTAAAATACTTAAGTGCGGGCTACGACTCGAAAAAACCGCAGATGAAATTAGTTGCATTTACATACTCAGATATGGGTATTTTGTTTATATACCTCTTATCAGCCGCTCTGAAATATACTAATAGAAAAAAAAAAAAAAACAAGTAAATAAATGAATAAATGAAAAAAAAAAAAAAAAACGAAAGAGCAGCTATCTTCCGAGAGCCGAAGGTTATATACACTACGCATGCATATAGTATGCGCTCGTTATACTTATCTCTATGCAGGGTTTTAACGCAAAACTTTCACGTCTGAATGTTTATTCCTGCCGGAGGTATATGATATAGTAGTCCACCTCGTAATATGGCAATATATCAAATTTCATTATTATAGATTATGAAAGACTTAAAAAAATGAGAATGAAACGAATTGGCTTCATTGGCTTTTCTCTATCTATGGGCTTTAGAGTTTTATCAGAAAGATCGCAACCTCCGAATACAAACTCTTCCCACACTTAAAGTCGTAATGAATAGTTTTATACTTCTGACTTTGAAGAATCGTGAACTGGTTTATTTAATTAAGATGAAATTAATGTAATATATATATATATATATAAATAAGTATCTATATATAATCTGTATCGTTTATATATGCTTGTTATAAACAAAAGTACTGCCAAAACAAGGTGTTTCTTTTCTCATATATTTGCATTCGTAATATTTGTCACACTTAAATTTTAAACTTTAACTAATTTTATTTGGTTGCAAAACAAGTAGTGTTTGTTTAATCAAAGAATATTGCACGCAAATACGTTTCGTATAGTGAATTCTAATAGTTATTAATCATCAAATTTAATGCAGTTAAAGAAAATAATATGCTGCTTCTGAGCCCTTATTAAAATTAAAAATTCATTTATAAATATTTGCAAAAATTTGTTTAATAATAAAACAGAATCAGTATACAAAAACTTATGCCATATAAATACATGTAGGTAGGTTCAGTTAGTAAGCGGGCTTGTGACATCAGGTGACGCACTTATGGAGGTAGGTGTGACAGCGCATTGTACAGCATTCGCTGCTAACTGAGCACTGAAAAGCAAATAAATATATATATACATATAAATATATAAGAGTGAAAGTAAGAGATGCCCTTCATTCGCTTACCACATCGCCAACTCGTTTACAGCGGGGTGCACTCGAAGTTGGAGCAGTGCTTGATGGATTGACAATATCGTATGCTATGCCCGCTATCTCAGCTGATTGGCTGCTGTTCTCAACGAGCTCAGTTCTTGTTGTGGTCTTATCATCTTGCAGCGTAACTATCTCAAGATCTTCGTTGAGTGGTATATTCGCATGGTATAGAGGCCACCAAAAGTCTGGGAGAGAATTCAAACCCGTTGGGCTTCCATTGCTTTCAGGATATTTCTCTGGCACTCTGGGCGCGCACTTGTACATATATGTCATGCACTTCCGGGAACAACAGTCCATATGCATTTGGCACTAAAATGTGCATATAAATTGTTATTGTTTATGCTTAAACTGTCTGATCTTGCCATATACTCACATATTGTCCATTCTCAGAGCAATTGCGCTTTACTATGTTATCTTGACGCGCCTGCACATGGCGCATAATACAAACACACAGTAATGTCCATATCGACAGTAATTTAAGACGGCGGCAAATTGACATTTTCACGTTAAGAGAGTGAAGCATCGACTGAAGCGTTTGGCTTGTGCAACCCGATGATATATGTTGTCGCACGCCCGTCTATGGCCCAAATTCGATCGGGTGTTTTGCTCACAAAAACAACAATGCGAACGAACGATTCGCCGAAGCAATCGCAAGGGCAATTAATGCAGTATATTTAGCACAGGCCATACACCGCAAAAAAAGAACAGGTGCCAAACACATTAACGATCGATTTGAATTTGAGTGTAAGACAATATTTTTTGTGGTTTTAATAAGTAGAGTATTTATTTATAAATATTTTAAAGTATTTATTGATAATAAATGTTATAAAATATTTAATTTTATATAATTTTAATAAGTAGAGTTAATATTTAAATAAAATAGCGTATTATATAACAATTTATATTTATATAATTTTGTATATTCTGATTTAAATTCTCGTGCATACATTCTGTACTAAGATACGTAGCCTTGATACTATATTATAATTAAGTTGTAAGCTCTTTTTTTACATTTATTACTTTTATTTTGTTTTGCATATATAAATAGGTGATAATTATTAATACATATTTACGAGCAGAGACTGCTCGGTCTTGTTCAAGTCAAAATGATTGATTTTAAATTTAATTATAAAATTTGAAATGTCATGTAGAACTGTGCAGGTCGCTGACAATTTCTCACAGTGCACAATAACACACAAGCAGTTCAGCGTTGTGCGCTGTTTGAGAATGGAAAATGAATACTAAAGAGAGTACTTAAGAGGACCTAGCTCAAAGGAGAGTCAGGATTGTGCACTGACCTGTCGCAAGTGGATGGCGTGAGCACAATTTCGTTTTCCAAATGTATAAGACAGCAACAACAGCAGCACTCGACGCTCTTATACGATCAATCAGTTGTTATCTTATCAGCAGCAAACAGCAGGCTTTAAACGCTTAACCGCAGTCGCCCCAACGCAACGTTTAGTCGAGTTTTGGTAGCCAACGTGTGTGCTTGCTTAATCACATTGCCGAAATGCTTACTCCGTGTGCTAGTATTATAATTGTGCTATTTGCGGCACTCGGCTGGTCGCAGGAGGCTGGGGCAGTCGAGACAGTGGAAACGGCAACGACAACCCCATCGCCACATCTGCTGTCCACGCGATCACTGCGCCTGCCGAACGATACGTACCCATTGAGCTATCAGCTGGACATTAGCACTAATATACATCTTGGGGATTGGCGCTTTAGCGGAAATACCACCATAGACATTGAGATTAGGCGTTCAACGAATGAGATTGTGCTACATGCAAAGAACTTGAGCGATATTCAGATAACGCTGCGACTACTTGACCCACAAATGCCAGAGGCTTTGGGTGAACTTGTGGATGATATTACGCATACGTATGATCCGCATACCACATTTCTCATCGTACATCCGCTCGTTAACTATCAGGCCTTTGAAGCCGGACAGCGATATCGACTGCACATCTCCTACACGGGCCTGATGGGCACTCGTCCCAAGGGTCTGTATTGGATGGCCTATGAGGAGCCGCTCAACAATCAGACTGTGTGAGTTATACCTGTTGTTGTTTCTGGCTGTTGTTGTTCCGGTTTGATAAGCCTCATTATGTAGCTAGGTTCAAAGGCGCAATTGCATTACATACACAATTACAAAAACGTATTCTATAAACGCGCGCGCGTGCTTTCTTATTATATAATCACAACTCTTTATTTAAACGATAATGATATTCGCATAATTATAACTTTTGCTTTTTTTCTGCTTTTGTTAGTTTTCACTTTTTATACCCTGCTAGCAGACAAATACTAAAATAGGGTAGCAGTCATATAAATAGTGTAATTTTGGGAAATTCGATACGTGGAGTTTTATATACGAAACATAGATAAAAATATTGAATTACAAATATTATAAAAACGCACTTAACTGTAAGTTTATTTGATTCAAGATTGCTATTCATCCATCCTCTTCCCTTCGACTTGATTACAGGGTATTTGTCTGGCCAAACACTCTTATCTCAAGCACACTCACTTGTTGATAGTCACAAATCAAGCGTGGCCTTATCACACAATAGTAGAGTACTCATATTCGTTATGCGCGTCATTCACGTTGCATATAAACAAACCTTTATAGACTCACAAACATTGTGTCGAATGGCTCAATGGTTTTCTTCATAAAGGGGCATGACTGTGACCACAACAAAATCTGGCTGCGACTCTTGTCAGTCCCTTATCGACGTCGACAGCTGAGCAGCAGCCTCGATAAGGCGCTGACAACAACAAAATATATATAATAGATTACTTATTATTATTGGCGCTTTCTCAATGAATCTCGATGGAAACAAGGCAATGTGTTTGTTTTGATTTGGCTTTACACAGCGATTCGTATAACGCTGGGAACTGCCTTTCAAAGAACTAGCAGTTCCTAATTAAAAAATAAAAAATTAGTGTGAACAAGAATGTTTTCCAGTGTTACTGAACATTAAATACAATTTAATATTTCAATTGCTTACAGCTATGTGGCAGCCACCCAATCGGAACCGACATATGCACGTTTGATCTTCCCCTGCTATGATGAGCCCGCCTTCAAGTCCAACTATAGTATCAGACTGACGCACAGCAGCAGCTTGATGGCCGTTTCAAATATGCCAGTGCTCGAGGTGCTAAATCGTGGGTAAGTACCTTCTGAAGCCTAATCTTTGACTTAGTTATAATGCGATTTCGTATTGAGTGCAGCGAGCTGACAACAACCACTTTCCAGACAACACCGCCCATGTCCACATATTTGGTAGCATTTGTTATTTCCAATTTTGAGCACATCTCGGAGACATATCGCGGCGTTACGCAGAGCATCTATTCCTCGCCCACAAGCAAGGACAAGGGTCGCCTCGCACTGAAGAATGCAGTGCTTACTGTGGCCGCACTGGAGGATTACTTTGGTGTCAAATACTCACTGCCGAAATTGGATCACGTGGCGCTTAAAAAGAACCAGGGCGCTGCCATGGAGAATTGGGGTCTAATCACCTTCCGGGACGATAGTCTACTGTCACTGGATGTAACGGACAAGCACAAGCGCTTGAAAAATAAACTAATGCAGAATCATGAGATATCGCATCAGTGGTTCGGTAATCTGGTGTCGCCGGAATGGTGGTCCTACGTCTGGATAAACGAAGGCTTTGCAACCTACTTTAGCTATGTTATAACTGATTTGGTAAGTGATTGTAAAAAGGATGAATGTCACGCGGACGATCGACTACTCTTCCAGACATATCCCTCTACTGCTAAGAGTATTAACCAAATTATCCGCCTACAGCTGCATCCCGAAGACAGGGTCATGGACATATTTATCAGAGATGAAGCGGAGCATGCTTATAGCTACAGCAGTTTCTTTGATGTGCGCCCAATGACATACTACGTGGAAACCGAACCGGATATTATGCATGTCTTTGATATTATAAGCTATAAGCGTGCCGCTTGCGTCATCAAGATGTTTCATCACGCGTTCCATCAGAAGACCTTTGTGCAGGGCATCAGCCGTTATCTGAAGAAATTGTAAGTCCCGGAGGGGAGCCAATGAACTGATTAATTGCAATTGATGTGCCATAAGTTTAACGATCTTCCAGCCAATACAGCGTTGTCAGCGAACAGGATCTGTTTGATGCCATCCAGGAGTCCGTGCTGGAGGATGTACAACTCCAGCAGCAATCCTGGGCGCATATGGTGCGTGACATTATGCTCTCGTGGACGCACAGTGAATGGCTTCCCATTGTCTCGGTCATACGGAACTATGAGAACGATACAATCACCTTGAGACAACGTTCGATACACTCGAAGAGTGAACACTGGTGGATACCACTGAACTTTGCCAGCGCCCAGTCGCCTAGCTTTGAGCATACGCATGCCGAGTACTTTATGCCGCCGGTGATGGAGCATACGTTGAGTCTGGAGGAACTGCAGCTGCAGCTGGGAGGACGGGACTGGCTGATTGTTAATAAACAGCAAACGGGCTTCTATCATGTGCTCTATGATACGGACAATCTGCAGGCGATTGCGCGGCAGCTCCAGCAGAATCATTCGCTTATACATGCCATGAATCGCGCAGCTCTATTTCAGGATCTGGCTCCACTGATCGAACGGAATGAGCTTGAATCGGTTGATGTGCTCTTTGAGCTGTTCAAGTATTTGAAATTTGAAGATGATCTAACGCCCTGGAGTCAGGTTGCCAATACCATAGAGTTTCTCGACTGCAATCTGTATGGCACCACAGCCCATTCGCTGTTTAAACAGTTCGTGCGTCGCCTGGTTGCGCCCACATTTCTGCGTCTCTTCAACAAAGATGATACTGGAGAGGCAACTATGGACATACTGGCACGCTCCGATATCTTACACATGGCCTGTCGTGTGGATATGCCCGAGTGCCTTGACTATACGCATCGGTTGGCGCATGAGTATATTTTCAAGAATAATAACTTTGAGAGCGATTATCCGGATTATTATGCCATGCACGATATCATATTGTGCATGGGTGTGCGACACCTGAGCGATGAGGAGTTCGGCAGATTAATCGATTTGCTGAATGTTACGGATCGAAATTCTGCCTACTATGATGATATGATTTATTCGCTGCGCTGCACACAAAGTCATCAGCATATGCGACACTATTTAAATCTGCTGCTGGGCGAGAATTCCACGTATACTTTGCTGAACGAACGGGAGGCTATGATGTATCTGTCCTACGTATTCAAATCGAATATGGCGGCACGTTCGGTTATCTGGCATTTTATAGATCATAACTATAAACTGCTCGCGCGATCCACGTTCTTTGTGCAGCTCTTTAATGATATTACCGAATTCGTGCCAGAGCGTCAAAAACACCATGTAAGTTTTAACTATCTAAATAAGCCATTTTTTATTAAACATAGTTTACTTTTAGTTTGCTACGCTGCGTCAAAATATTGATATGTATCTGCAACTGGAACATCTCAGTCCCAAGCAGCCTTTGATATCTATAGACTCGCGGCGGGTGGGCAAGAAG